TAAAGATCTTGGCGAAATGTACTTCTTCACAACACACAATGGAAGTGGTAACATCTATGTGGATGCAAGCTATTGACTAAGGCATAGATTTCAGTTCATTGAGGCATTTTAAACTTGTTCCTAAGTGATGACAATTCTCAAACTGCTGAATATAGTTGCTTTATTATTGGCAGAAGTTGCCAGTGAACTCTGCACTATTGGGGTTTTTAAAAAATAAAGCCTATCTAGTAATGTTATTTATTAATGAATTTATAACGAAATGGTCATGATGTTAGGTAATATTTCATCACTCATTGGCACATAAATTCCCAACCTTTCTTTACTTGAAAAAGAGCAAATGTTTTAGACTTGGTCAGAGACATTATAAACAAGCACAGTTCTACCTCTGATCACTATAGTGGAAATTAACAAACAGCTAGAAAGTGACTTTATTTGGCTTGTTTCAGAGAAAGTCTATCCGACCAAAAAGTTGAGGTTCATAACCCTTACTAAAAAGTTCACACCACCTCAATGTTTACATCCTTAAGGCAAGCTTCTTCCCCCCCATGGAAATCTAGGACGCTGGGAGACAGACTGGCTACTTCAGCTCAGGAGGTGGAGGCAAAAACGTAACAAAGCTTTGTTTAAACGTTTCCTTACCCTTTTAGCTTCAGCCTGGAGATCGCTGTAGTGAACGCCATTATGGATGGTGGTGCAGTTAGCCTTTTCATGCTACACATGCGCATCATGGATCACAATTCTTAATGTTTATCTGTACTCATTACGAATTTGCTTGCTAGAGTAGTGTTGCCAACTTGCCCTTCATCATCTTGGTAGATGGACATATATTGAGAATTTTATAACCAAGTGCCACAATACAGTGAAGAAAAGCAATTTTGTTTTAATTAAGAATAATTTAACTTGAGCATGGAGCAGTTGTGAATGATTCAACAATTCCCCTTTACACTTCCAATATTAAAACGTGTTCCAGACCAGATCTTAGGTCTTTTAAACATGGACATTTAAAGAGAACAGTTAGCTTCTGTTCCCAATACCCATCGAACAATTAACTCTACACAAATGTTCCTTGGCAGGCCCTGGGGTGCCATATTACTAGTGTCATTTGTATGTGGACATTTAGGCCTCTTTCATATGGAATGAAGTCTGCTCCGATCAGCTGAGGATCTGTGAGCAGATGCCGCTCAATTTATGGAGAGCTGACATGGGCAGACACCACTGAGCTCTATGGGCAGCTAGGTGTAAAATGGACTCCACTGTCTGTTTACATAAGGCTGTCTCCAATCTGGTCTGTCAAACCGGAAAAAGATGCAGTCCCTTTTCTGTTTTTTTTTTTTTTTCCACCAGACCTGGAGGTAGCTGGGTGCACAACAACAAGTCCTGCCGTATCTGCCTGTCTATAGCTCTCCATGGACCTTCCCTTCAGGTCCATCTAAAAAAAAAAACTGAAAGGCATACCTGATCGATCACAGTGTGAAAGGGGCCCAACCTGCTTCCACTTTTAAAGGAGTACAAATTTTTGAAGTGTGGTGCTGGTGGCTTAAAAATGTGGTAATCTGCTTCCAAGTATGTGCATGTAAGGGTCACACAAATATTGCAAATTAGTCACAGAGTGATACCATAAATAACTGGAGAAAACAGACCATAAATTTAGTTGAATTATTTTATCATTTATAAAAACTTAAATTTTAGCCAGACAGGGGCTAAACAGAAAAAAAAACATAATTATTGACATTGTTCCATTGACTGAAACTGAGCATTCCTTCTAGGTTAAATCTAATAGGAAAATTATGGTTGCTGAATTAAAAGAACAAATTATAATGATTGCCAGGTATTGATGTTCCAGGTCCCCCATGCCCTGCTGTACAGTGAATGCAGAGGATGAGTTGCTCAGAATGGGCACCATTCAAAGAAAACCCTACATTTCTTGATTTCTTGCAAAGCATTCTCTGATTGGACAAAGTGGAGATTGTGATGTAACTGCACTGCCTCTTTACCTTGTCCAATCACAGAAAGCCTTGCATTCATTAAAGAAAAATGCAAGGCTTTTGTGAATGACACCTCTGCTGAGTGAGTGACCCCATGTTCATTATGCAGCAAGACAGCTGCTTGGCACAGGACCCAGAAGACAGCAGTGATCACTGTAGAACTACTCCAGTAATTCTCCACTTCCACGGCAGTCCCACGGGTATGGCATATATATTATATATATATATACTTACATTCGTCCAAGTTGGACCAATGTAACTCTGCAAAAAAATGCATACCTGGAATTCAGCTTTAAAAAATACAAGTTGAAACTAAAATTAATTTATTTGTTATAATTTCTGTGAGGATTCACTGTAATCTGATTGCGCAATAGGCCCCTTTCACACTGATGCGGTGCGGATTCAGTCCTGCATGCAGGACTTTTGCTGCGGTTTTAGAAACTGCAACAAACCCGAGGGACATAATAGAACCTTATGGGAAAGCAGAGCTATCTGGTGGGTAGACTGCAATACACCCATGGTGAGGTCAAACCGTACCACATCAGTGTGAAAGGGTCCTTAACCTTCAAAAACACAGTCCACCATAAACTGGTTTTCTTGAAATATTTTCAGACGCAAGTCATATACTTAGACAGACAGGCCTATGTATCCATAGTCACATAAATAAAAAAGGTTCCAGTGATATGTCGTTGTTTAGAGGCTATATTTTTGACTTATAAATTGTGATGGGCATGTATGGAATATTTGCAACATATTTTTTCATAATGTGGAGAAGACCACAATAAATCAACATTATGTAACATGACCCCAGCATTCCCTGTATTGTTGTTAATGGGGCTCATAGATATTAAACGGCAGTCTCCTAATATTAGTGCTTTTGGATAGACTGGGAAATGATCTAACGTCTATATGACATCTTCCTTTGGATCCTATTCTCTGAAAACAAATCTACCAGGTTAGACATCCTTGACCAATCACGAAGATAAGCTGGCAATGGGACCATTTGGTTGCTTTTAGCCTCATTCACCTTCACAGCCTACAGAAGAACAGTAGTGCAATCAATGTGTCTCACCTTAGGGAAGAGGCTAGCCTAAGAGACACTTAGATAATAAGAGCATACGTCTGTGTCCAAATGTTCAGTAATGTCAATAGCCAGCATAATTTTCCTGTATTCCATGGAATGAGCAACAACTCCCCTGCTGCTCCAAGAAAATACGTAAAGAAATTGCAGGTTATTTTACTCAATCCCATTGTGATTGGTTCTTATTCATTTTTTAATGAAGCTTCAACTTTCATTCCATTCAATTTTATTGTAATTTTTTTTTCAGATGATTTCCACTTGTTATTACAAAAACCTATCTAAAAACGGACTGAAAAACAGATTATAAAATGTAATGAAAATGGGGTGAAAACGGACTTTACTTTCTACAGACTACAATGCAGAGAAAATAAATCAGACATCAAAAGTGCAGTATGCTACAGTTTTAAAAAAGAAATAAAAAGGAATGAAACATTGTTTATAACCATGTGCATTAGCACTTATTTTGTAAGTTCATCATTAGCTGCAGTCAATGACCCACAGCAAGGAACCCCCTTTTTTGGCCTTTCTATTTTACCTGTGTAAGACATTGACAGCCCAGTCGGGATAATAAGCACATGTGCGCTTTTCAGTGAACATTTATGCCCGAACTGATGCACAATAATCCAATCCGACAGGATTGCCACTGTTCCGTCAAAGAACAACTACATCAGGATGTGCTATCGTGATGAACAGATGCAATTATTTGCATCTTCCTCTCTTCCTTGTTGTAACATTCTCAATGTTACCTCCGAATGAGATCCAAAAACTGTAAACTCACTTAAAGGCTTGAACAGCTGCATACTGCTGTTTTGCAAGTGACAAAATGCCTCTGTGTAAAATATTAAAATGTTAATCACAGGGAAGCAATGGACAATCCTCTCCATTTTGTACTTTATAAATACGTAAATAATTGGTATCTGGGGCTGGGATGCAGGATGGTTAAATAATGCTTTGATAATTCTTTCCAAGAGCCTGCCTGGTAATTAACCACTTACAGTCTATCTACTGTGCCTCATAAAATCACAAGAAAATATACATTTTAGAAGCAGTTAAAAAAAAATATATATACACCACAGGTATATAAATATCACCCATATATTAAGTGAGGGTGTAAAACGAAACAAAGCACACACAATTTTACCAATCACGCCAACGTACTGCAAGCCAAACGTTAGACAAACCTGCCTTTCTCAGGTTAAATACATTCTCCCTTTTCAACAGCATGCCTGTCAGCCATACCCTGTGGAGGCAGCCATATTAGGGGCTGGACTGATATTTCAGTAAATGCAGCATATCAAATTGTAAGGAACATCTTTGAGGTACAAGGTAGAGAGTGCCTCACTACTAAAAGATTCCATCGATTCATTTAGAACTGATGATTTTTTGATTTATAAAAAAAAAAAAAAAAAAGGCTGCAAAGAGCAATACGGCTTACCTCTTCTCATAGCCTTTGTCCTACCTGGCCCAAATTCCTAGTCATTCCTTTTCCCTAAGTATCCATTAGGAAAACATTTAACTTTCTGTGTCTCAGGATTTGATTGGAAATAAAAAGCTTACAATTGTAAGCAATCACAAAATGACCTTCTGCCTTTCAGCAACAGAAACAGCTTTTCTGACGAAGGTCCACCATTCAGATTAGAGGGTGTATCTGGACAAGCATAAGGGAGAAAGCGATACTAAATGAGAAAAGCATTATGGGAATTGTGATCGATCCCAAAAAACGAACATTATAGAACTAACAAAGGGCAAGGGAAGCAAATGTGAAATCAGCATTGATGACCTGTCTGCAAGGAAAGATGAACAAACTGCCTGTTTGCATATTTACAGCAATTCGGCTGAAATGTCCTCTTCTTGATTCAGGCAGCAGGTGCTCTCTCCCATTACATGGAGACAGACTAATGGATAATATCCCAGCTCTCTTCCATAGAGCCTCATTAGGGAGTGTAGGCTGGTGGAGGCTGGAAAGGATTCATGACATCATACTCTGCAGGGTAAGAGTCAGCTTCCATCTCTGACAGCAACTCCAGAGCCTGTTCTTCCTCTTCTGTAGGGTAGTGACGCAGGAGGTTTGCCGCAGTAGCCAAGATGGATGCTCCGCCAGCTCCAGCCACCAGGTAGAAGCTAACAGCAAAGGTGACGTAGACTTGAGAACCATGGTACTGCTTGTGCTGCTGCTGAAGGGCAAGTATAAGTTCTGAGGCCCAGTAGCAGAAGCCAATCACCGTAGCACATTGTAAAACTGTGAAAGTAAGAAACAGAGGATCATTTTTGCAGTTCTCACATAACATTTCTGCGGCCGGACAATTCACAAGAATCAGCTAAGCAATGCACCAAAAAGGTGGCAACTAGCTTTTAATTGTTCATGAAGATATATATAAAGTCATTTATAACTCTGCCCCAAATTACATCACCAATCTTGTCTCCAAAATATCACCCAAACCGTACTCTCCGCTCCTCGCACGACCTCCTGTTCTCTAGCTCCCTTGTCTCCTCCTCCCATGCTTGTCTCCAGGACTTTTCCAGAGCTTCCCCCATCCTCTGGAACTCTCTACCCCAATTTATCAGAAAATCACCTACTCTGCTCACTTACAGGCGATCTCTGAAAACCTATCTCTTCAGGGAAGCCTATCCTGCCCTCAGCTAATAATGGAATCTTCTACTCTTCCAACCTGTCCATCCCCCACAGTTACTACATTTTGTACCACTAGCCCCTCCCTCCTATATTTTAAGCTCCAATGAGCAGGGCCCTCCTAACCCTCTTGTATTGAACTGTATTGTTGCTGTATTGTCTCCCGTTATATTGTAAAGCGCTGAGCAAACTGTTGGCGCTATATAAATCCTGTATAATAATAATAATAATAATACATTTGACGCCTTTACTACTTCAGGTCAACAGTAGCAGTTCTACAACTGATATAGGCCTACATCAGGCTGTATGGCATGCACAAGCACTGCTATGTGTACACACATCCAAACAAATGTGTTCAATAAATTGCACTGTACACGGACTAGAATGTTAACAATCTTGGTTAAACCGAAAGAGCAAAGAGCTAAAAACATTATCTTCAAGCTGATGAGAACATTTTACAGCAATCAGTTAAAGGGTAAATTCACCTTTTTGCAAAAAATACAGAAGTGAACCAACTTCAAATATATATTGGTCATCCCTCCCGATCACGTTGCACATAGTGGCCGTGATGTCCCATATGACCATGCTGGCCAATGAGAAGCGCATCGGAGGCTTCTTCTTCCAGTAAGGTGTCCAAGGAAGAAAGAAACACTTATTTGATATTATGATGGATACACACGCTGGGGCTGTGTATTGTCTACGGTCTCTACACTGGCAACACAAGATATCATGGCCATTATGTGCAGTGGGGGCCTGGAGGGATGGTCAGGATATGTGGAGTTAGTTCACCTTTTCAGAATTCGTGAAAAGGTGAACTTACCCTTTCATGAGCTCCTAGTCTCCCGTTTCTCTTAAAGTAACCAGGCAGAGCAAAGCAGATTCACTTTAGTGGTGGCCCCAAACAAATGTCAATTGACAAATGTCAATTTATTTGTGTGCTGAAAGTGAAAAGCCTTTTTATAAATTCTATATCGGAGCCAGGAGCTTACACACAGAGCTGAGAACCCACCCCTATTCCCCAACATGCTTGAGCAGCCGATCGAGCATAAGTCCACTCTCACTGTTATTTTTGCATTTTGTCTAACTAAAATGTAAGGGGGAAAAAAGAAAGACTGTATCAGCAACACCAGATTTCCCCTGTGCTACAGTCTTGATACCCATTCCACATTTTAACCACTATCCTACTGGGCACTTATACCCCCTTCTTGCCCAGGCCAATTTTCAGCTTTCAGTGCTGTCGCACTTTGAATGACAATTGCGCCGTCATGCAACATTGTACTCTTATAAATTTTTTATAATTTTTTTTTTTTAGACAGATAGAGCTTTCTTTTGGTGGTATTTAATCACCTCTGGGTTTTTCATTTTTTTTCTAAACAAACCAAAAACAATTGAAATTTTTTTTTTTAAAGAACATTTTTTCTTAGTTTCTAAAATTTTGTAAGTAAGTAATTTTTCTCCTTCACTGATGTGCACGAATGAGGCTGCAGTGATGGCCACTGATAGGGTGTACTGATGGACATTGACAGGCATCACTGACCGGCGGCACTGACCGGCAGCTCAGATGGGAACTGATGTGGCATTGATGTGCACTGGTAGGCTCTGATATGTGGCATTGATGGACATTGACAGGTGGCACTGATGGAGCTATACTGATCATCAGGGCACATGGATCATCAGTGCCCTGATAATCAGTGTACATGTCCCCTCTGAGTAATGCCGATTACCGGCTATCCTCTCTTAACGAGCTGTCAGCGTAACAGCTCGTGAGGAGAGGAATGCCGATAACCGACATTTCTTTATTTACATGCGATCAGCTGATCACATGACAGAGCCGACGTCATCGGCTCTTTCTGTTGATTGGTGATCCGCTGTGTCCCTGCGCTGTGTCCCCGGGGGGTGCACACGCGCAGTTAGAGAGGGAGGACGTCATATGACGTCCTCCAAGAACAAGAGAATCGCCTTGAGCCCGTCATTTCCTTATATGGCGGGTGGGAGGTGGTTAAACATTTTAGACTTAAGTTGGCCATAGATGAATCAACTTCTCACGAACATCCTTATTGGAAAACCTGTTTGAACAGTGCTGCAGTAGTGATCAGTGCATTCTGACAGCGGAGGAGTCTCCACTGTCAGAATACAACACAAGAATTCCTCTATCCATGCTTGTGTGGATGGGGGAATCCATTGCCCTCTGGCTGATCAAAAAATACTGATCCCTGTATGGCCACCTTTAGTTAAAATGTTCAGGTTTCTATAGAAAACCTTTTTATTGATTGGCTATATTTATAAAAAAAATAGATGTAGCTTTGTAATGGGTACTTTACATGGATATAACCTGTATATGTACTATACAACCTGTATATGGTATTACACATGGATATAACCTGTATATAAACACACCTCCTGTCCCTGGGTGGCTACACTCACTCCTCCACTCTTTCTATGAGAGGACTTATAGTTATAGACCAGGCTAGGCTCCTCATCTTCATCCCAAGTACACAAAGAATGGGGAGATTGTACTTTTATTTATTATTTCAGCTTTTCTGCAAAATTAATATGGAATTTGGGCTAAAGTACTTAAGCAAGCAGCTTTTATTTCAGAATTTGTTTCTCCAGCACCACTTACAACCTTTTCAGAGCACTAGAGCTTATGTCTATGCAAATATCAACTTTCAGAAAGTCACAATTTGCATATGTCCCCCACATGGCAATGACTGAGCTTACCAATAGGTCGCTTAGGCTCTGTTGCACATTGTATTGTGGTATTCAGGTGGGGTGCTACGTTCTACTAGGAGAAAGTGTTGCCATCTGGGGGGAGGGTTGCGGCCAGAAATGGAAGAACGGAATCTAGGGATTGTGGTATAAAGGGCCCCTCTATGTTACTATAGGGACAGGCGATAAACTATGTTATTGTAATAATAATAAAAAAAAATAATGAAGACATCATACCTGTAAGAATGTGAGCAAAGGCATAGCGACGTGTGATTTTCAGAGCTGGGTGCTTGGGCCCAAAAACATCAAGCAAGAAGGCAGTCATACTGCAGGCAATGCCCAGGAAACAGAAGCCAGCAATGACACGGAGGAGAAGTATAGTCTGACGGTTCATACAAAACTCTGCAAGCATATGAAATAAATACCTTAGTTCACAAAATTTTTTACCTATTTAAAAATACACTAAAAACACTCATGTAGCACACCAGAAGGTTAAAGTGTCTGTGTCACTAAGGCTACTGAAATTGTCATAGATGTTAACTGATAGGCGGCACTGATGAGGAGGCACTGATAGGCGGCACTGATGGGAATTGACAGGCATCACTGGTGGGCATTCACAGACTTCACGGATGCGCACTGAAAGGCGGCACTGATAGCACTGATATGTGGCACTGAAAGGCACGGATATGTGGCTTTGATGTGCACTGACAGGTGGCATTAATGGACACTGACAGGTGGCACTGATGGGGCTACACTGATCATCAGGGCACTCAGTGTCAGATCAGTGTAGATGTCACCTCTAAGGAATGCCGATTACCGGCTCTCCTCTCCTCACGAGCTGTCAGCGTGAGGAGGACACAGATGATCACATGACAGAGCCGAAGTCATCGGCTCTTTCTGCTGATCGGTGATCCGCTGTGTCCCAGGTACATAGCTCACCACCGATGGCCGCGCATGGGCGGTTAGAGTGGGAGGATGTCATATGACGTCCTCCCAGAACGAGACCAACCACCTTACGCCCATCATTGCTTCATATGGCTGGTGGAAGGCGGTTAAAGTATCCAAACCCAAAAACAAAAATGTAAACTATTGCAGCTTACCAGTCCTTAGGCTTTTTTTTTTTTTTTCCCCCCCAAGTAGTAAACCTGTGAATAACACTTCCTGTTCCTGGGTGGCTACACTTACTCCTCCACTGTTTCTATGGAAAGAGCCATGGTTATCACCCAGGCTGGACTTCCTCTCTTCATCCCCATTACATGAAGGATGGGAAGATTAGTACCTCATAAAAGGCTGATCATATTGTTTATATTTTCCGCTCAGCTCACAAGTGACCTGGACAATTCCGGCAAGATCAACAGGTATTTTTCTGTGCTTTCTGAAAATGTTCTTAGCACTGGTAAGCTGCAATACATTAAAGTGGAACCTCACTCTCTCAATCAACCCTGACTATTTTTAATCTTTATGCTACTAGCATTAGTAAATAGAGCAGTAAACGTTATATAGTTTCCTATGTTAATTTTTTTTTTTTTCTACATTTCTTCACTTACTTCCTGGTTTCCAGGCCTAAGCAAATGCCATCATACATTCCAGATGCCTTAGGGAGGGGTTTCTCAGCTTCGCACATCCTCCTGCCTGCATAAATGCATGAGCTAAGGGCAGGTGGATGCCAGGAAGTAAATACTACACGAATCATCAGTACTTACTCAAGATGGCCACGGCTAGAAATTCTGGGAGGTGTTTTTCAAAATAATTTCTCAGCAAGGTAAAGCATGGAGACATGGATGGATGTATGGATGGTGTTCCACCAGCTTACCATAGAGCTGGATAGGGACAGGAACGTCCCTGATCATTTCTATGGTATAGGAAATCGGAAACAACATGTATTTTGTCACTTCCGGTTTCTCCAGAATGTAAACAAGCCATTTTTGGCTTGGGAAAGCATTTGGTCAAACCAATCTTGGCTTGATCAGATGCTTTTAAGCACAGAGAAGATATCTGGGGTCTAATAGATGCCAGATCTGTCAAAGAGTACCTCTCACAGCCCATGCTATCACAATGGATATTGTTCATCTCCTGTGATAGCAATAAAAGTGATAAAAAATAAAAATTAGAGACATCGTAAAGATTAAAAAAAAAAAAAAAAAAATTTAAAGCGCCACCGTGCTCGCAGGCAAAGGCATACGTATATGTAGGTCATGCATGCATATGAAATGGTGCTCGCACCACACGTGAACTATTGCCACAAACATTATAGCGAGAGCAATATTTCTAGCACCAGAGCTCCTGTATAACGCTAAACCTGTAAAGACTTTCAAGTGTCACCTACAGAGATTTGTAAGTACTGTATTATGCCACCATTCCAAATGTGTACGCGATTTTAAAGTGCGACATGTTAGATATCTATTTAATTGCCATAACATCTTTTTTTATATTTCACCAATTAAAAAAAAAATTGCTGTGCAAATACTGTGTGACATACAAAATTGCAGCACCAACTACTTTATTCTCTAGGGCATCTGCTTAAAAAATATGTAATGTTTGGGTGTTTGAAGTAATTTTCTAGCAAAAAACATATTGATTTGTCAGTGTCAGAAGTGTCAGAATAGGCCTGGTCTTCAAGTGATTAAAAGTGCATATAAACACAAGCATTACAATCTCATAAAAGCTTCAACCTGTTGATGTAATTTCAAAAGTCATTTTCAGTCTTTTTAAATCTGTAGCCTTCATCAATTCCTGTTTTAGGGTGACAACCCTCTGTTTCCCAATTATTTTAATATTGTCACCCTATAACACACTCTACTGATGGAAGCTACAAGAAGCTGTGGTGATGAACACTGCACAGGACTGTTCCATTGCTGTCACCTTTAGGAACCCTCCCTGAGAAATGGCATGCAGCAGTTAAAGAGTGCACACAGACAGGATGTGGCTGCAAAGAGCCTGCAGTAGAGTATCAGTGCTCATAATAAAAAAAAAAAAAAAAACACACAAGTGCTAATAAGTAAATAAAACATGTAGACTATTTGTGATTCATACTAACAAGGAAAATGTAATTTTGTTATGAGTTTATCTGCTTTAATAAAATCTTTAAAAAAAAAAAAAAAAAAAAAGTGAAAACATAAACCACCCATTTAATCATGCAAAGAAATCCCACCACTTACTTGTCAGTAGTTCAGGATCTTCTGGTCCCAGCACATCGGCTACCCCTAACTCCTGACGTTTGCAGGTCCCTCCATGGATATGTAGCCAGGCAGGTTCTGCCAAAGCAGTGCACAGGGCAGTAATAGACAAAGCGCCAGGCAGAGCCGATGCTAGGCTTCTCTCTGGCTGCTTGGGAGGGCATGGGTTCCATGGCCTCTTCTCCTGGGCATGGAAGAGCCTCCGGACCCGCCGGGAGCAAACATCTCAAGTGTTGAGAAGAGATTTTACTCTGTAAACAAGAAACACAAAAAGTCATTTTTAGAATCTGGTCGATGATAAACAGGTATCTGTACATACAGCTATACTAATGCCCACGATTGACCTGAATCAAAAGTGGCTAGTGGCATAATAAAGGAATAAAGCATTTATGCATATGAAAAAAATAGAAAATCTACTTTACAGTAAATTTTTATTGACCAAATAAAAAAACACTTTCTTGGGTGATCTATATTTTTGGTGGGATGCAATATATCAGGTCCCATTCCCCCGCTGCACACAACCATGTGAAATATCTTATGTTCCCTTTAGGGCCTGTTTAGGGACTGAAAACAGTGCAATGCATTAGAATTAGCACACCAGCATTGTTCTTTCCAATGCACATCAGCGGCCAGGTGCATTTTATACTATTATTTATATATATATATATATATATATATATATATATATATATATATATATATATATATATATTATATATATATATTATATTTTTTTTTTTTTTTTTTTTTTTTTTTTTTTATTCATTTTATTTTTTCTATTTAATTTTATTTTTCAATGCATTCATCTGGTAAGTGTAACAAAGCTTTTTACTTATCTGATCCATTTCTACTGCATTTAATCTATTTGCTTTTACATGCATTTACACATTTAGCTACATAAAACTGGGCTGAAAGGGTTCCAAGAACCACAAATTTCTTACGTAAACACAGCTTGGCTGAATGTATTTAGATGCTGCCGAACATTTACTGTGCTTTGAGCCAGTTTATTTACATGCTTACATTTTGAAAAACAGCTCTAAATGCATCTGGACTCATGTATTTTGACACTCCTGTGCATAGAGGCATCAGTATTCACACGAGTACAGCCATTCACTTGTATGGAAGGCTGTGGGTTCCACTTGCAGCTCCCCAGGGCAGTCTTTTGAGTCCTTGAAGGTCAATGTGCATGAGGCTTAACAGTTATTGTAGATTACAAAATGCAAGTTTTATTGTACATAACTTTATTGTGGACCCCCCACACCTTGGAAGGGTTTTTGCTAGTGGTGCACCAAAATTAAAGTTCTGGGTCGAATCGAAAATTAAGGATGCACTTGACCAAAAACCAAAATGGACAGTTTTTTTTTTTTAAATATATATTTTTTAGATATAATTGTTTTATATTAGACTTTTTAATTAATGTCATGAAATTAAATGAATATGAATTTAATAAATAAAACACAGTAACGTAAAAAAAACTTTTATTGAATGTCACACACAAAAATTGGACAGGAAATAAAATGAAATATATATTAAAAAGGAAAAAAAAAAAAAAAATTAAATAGAAGCATTTTTGCATTGCAGTCAACAGAGGATGCGATTTTGCACTGCAGTCAACGGGTCGCGATTCTGCACTGCAGCCAGCGGGACGCGGTTCTGCACTGACGTCAGCGGGACGCGGTTCTGCACTGACGTCAGCGGGACGCGGTTCTGCACTGACGTCAGCGGGACGCGGTTCTGCACTGACGTCAGCGGGACGCGGTTCTGCACTGACGTCAGCGGGACGCGGTTCTGCACTGACGTCAGCGGGACGCGGTTCTGCACTGAAGTCAATTATCATTATCTGCAGATTTTTTTTTTTAATTGGCAAAATGACGATGACCCTATTTTCGCCCGATATTTTTCAGTGTATATCAGTGCATCACCAGTTTTTGCATGTTATGTCAAGCGGATTTGAACACAGGCAGTAATCACTTATTTTATACCCCACTCCGAGCCTCAGCATCATCACGTACCATACAGGGACATTAAGGCCTTGTTCACACAGGGCCTATCAATGTGTACTCTGTGCAAGGAGCGTGTTTATCTGCATGGGTATGCACAGGTGTTCCATGTATCCCCATGCTGGTATTCCCAATGATGTGAATTGGGACACAGAAGCTGCATCTGGCCCCAAATGCAGACAGTGTGAGTTTGGGGACATGAGTTTGCATGCACACGTATGTCACACTGGGACCAGCAGCCATGTCTGTGTAACCACTGCGTCCCACCTCACATCTGGAAGAACAGAACACCTGTGCATCCCCGTGTGGATAAGCAATGCACTCACACAGGGTATGCATTGATACGCCCCATGTGAACAAGGTCTAACCCTGTACGGTATATTCTGGAGCCTGGAGCGTGAACACAGCCAATAGCTGCTTACAGAGGTGCTACGGGGGACTTGTTGCAGCACTGGAGACCCCCACCTAGAGCGAGAAGCAAAGTAAGTATGTTCTTTTGAATCTTCTACCCCTTTACATAACAAGCAAGGGTGTTTTTTAATTTTTTATTTTTGCAGAGTTGGGGTTTAAAGGGAAATGTCAGCGTTAAAGGAAACCCGTTAGGAGAGAATATAAAAGCTGCAGTCCCTGGCCTCTCCTTTTGAACATGCTAGTTGCCTGGCCATCATTTGATGACCCTCTTGCTTTGATACATCAGATCTCTGATCAGAACAAATATGCACATGACTACATACTTGCTACAGATCAATGAAAAGTATTACAGCCAGTGGATCAGCAGAACAACCAATCCACAAGCGTTTTCAGAGCATGGCAGCCTTCACCTTGCTTTCAAGACATGTTTACTTTAATAAGTAGTCCTAGACTTTTGATCATATGATTTTCTGAAGGGGAAGATTAGAGGCCAAACAATCTGACCAGCAGAACCCGAAGCATTTTGTCCAGGAAAAGTTTTATAGTAGTTCCTTCTGTTAAATGTCAGTCACTGTAAGCACTTTTTTCCTTTTTTTTTTTTAATATAGGTCTACTTCAATATCAATACAAAATTTTAGTTTATCATATATTTCAAGATGTCATATACCAGTAGAGTAACTAGAACATAATGCTGGAATTTTGGTAACTATTCATATAAATGAATGAAAAAAAGGATGCTTGAAAACATTTGTTGTTCCTAAGTCATGGTGACAGAAATTGTGCAATTTAATTGCATCTGCCTGAGTCACCAGTCCAATCTTTTCACCATACAATTATTCCACATAAAAATGTCAGCATGACGTATAACATCCATTCAGAAAAACCACATGAAGAAAAAATAGTTCATATCATCAGAAAAAAAACTGGTGTATCTATATGCTGTGAATATATAGAGAGCATCCAGTCTTCAAATCAACTGTAGCATACAGATCTGAAATATAAAGATCTTCTCTAAACTTGTTCCTGGCTTTCAGGATTAACAGCACCATAAAAAAAAAAAAAAAAAAAAATAATCACACAAAAACTTGAAATACACTGCTCAAACAAATTAAAGGAACACTTTGAAAACACATCAGATTTCAACAGGGAAACATATCATGCTGGATATCTATACTGATATGGACTTGGTAATGTGTTAGGAATGTAAGGATGCCTCATCGTTTGTAGGTTGATACTTTTTATTTCCATCAGAGGACTGAATTCAAAGACAGCCTGAAAATCAAAGTGAAAAAATGATGCAGGCTAGTCCATTTTGCTGAAAGTCCATTGCAGCAACTCAAAATGGTACTCAGTAGTTTGTATGGCCCCCATGGGCTTGTATGCATGCCTGACATTGGAGACGACGGATGGTGTCCTGGGGTATTTCCTCCCAGATCTGGACCAGGGCATCACTGAGCTCCTGGACAGTCTGAGGTGCAACCTGGCAGCATTGGATGCACCAAAACATTATATTCCAGAGGTGTTCTATTGGATTTAGATCAGGTGAGTGTGGGGGCCATTTAATGGTATCAATTCCTTCATCCTCCAGGAACTGCCTGCATATTCTCGCCACATGAGGCCAGAAACCCAAAATATATATATATATATATATATATATATATATATATATATATATATATACATACATACATATACACACACACACACATACACACCCAGGACCAGCATAGGATCTGCTAATGGGTCCAATGGTTTCATCCCGATATCAAATGGCCGTCAGGGTGCCATTGTCTAGCCTGAAGAGGTCAACTGGATATGCTTCCCCAGACCATCACTGACCCACAACCAAAACGGTCATGCTGAACAATCTTTCAGGAGAACATTCTCCATGGCTTCTCCAGACCCTTTCACGTCTGTCACATGTGCTCAGGGTGAACCTGCTCTCATCTGTGAAGAGCACAGAGCACCAGTGGCAGACTTGACAATTCTGGTGTTCAGTGGCAAATGCTAATCAAGCTCTATAGTGCCAGGCAGGGAGCGCAGGGCCTACTAGAGGACGTTGGGCCCTCAGTCCATCCTCATGAAGTCTGTTTCTGATTGTTTGGTCAGAGACATTCACACCAGTGGCCTGCTGGAGGTCATTTTGTAGGGCTCTGGCAGTGCTCATCTTGTTCCTCCTTGCACAAAGGAGCAGATACTGGTCCTGCTGATGGGTTAAGGACCTTCTATGTTCAATCTACTTCTCCCGATAACATTTTTTTTTTTTTTTTTTTAACCAAAACCGTACTTAAATCTGAGGTGCTTTATGGAATATCTGGGGCTTTTAAAAATGAAAGGGGCTTTATGGCGACTTAAAACATTTAATATTTTTAACATTGCGCAGTATATCTCCTCCATCACCGCACTCGGGGACTTCCAGGAAGGGGAGAGACCTTGCAGTGTAATGAGCACTGATTGGCTGCTCGTCAGAAAAGGGGAGTGTCAGGCTTATCCTTTATCCCTTTTGCCTATGTAAACAAGGCAGAGCTGTGTTCTGTCAGTGAAGAACAGGGAATAAAATCTAGCAGATTGCCTAGTAAAAGCACCTGTGTACACAAAACAGATAGCCAGGCACACAGTTAACCCTTTGATTGCCCAAGATGTTTAACCCCTTCCCAGCCAATGTAATTTATACAGGGACAGTGTATAGATTTAGCAATGATCAGTGTATTAATGTCACTAGTTCCCACAAAGTGTCAGTTGGTGTCAGACTGTCCGCCGCAATATCGCAATCCCGCTATAGGTTGCTGATCACAGCCATTACTAGTATAAA